GAATGAAAGGGGGTAAAGCAGCTGGAACTGATGGGATCATGACAGAAATGTTAAAAGCAGGGGGGATATAGTGTTGGAGTGGTTGGTACTTTTGTTTAATAAATGTATGAAAGAACAGAAGGTACCTAGGGATTGGCAGAGAGCATGTATAGTCCCTTTATATAAAGGGAAAGGGGACAAGAGATTGTAAAAATTATAGAGGAATAAGTTTACTGAGTATACCAGGAAAAGTGTACGGTAGGGTTATAACTGAAAGAATTAGAGGCAAGACAGAATGTAGGATTGCGGATGAGCAAGGTGGTTTCAGTGGGTAGGGGATGTGTAGATCAAGTGTTTACATTGAAGCATATATGTGAACAGTATTTAGATAAAGGTAGGGAAGTTTTTATTGCATTTATGGATTTAGAAAAGGCATATGATAGAGTGGATAGAGGAGCAATGTGGCAGATGTTGCAAGTATATGGAATAGGTGTTAAGTTACTAAATGCTGTAAAGAGTTTTTATGAGGATAGTGAGGCTCAGGTTTTGGGTGTGTAGAAGAGAGGGAGACTACTTCCCAGTAAAAGTAGGTCTTACACAGGGATGTGTAATGTCACCATGGTTGTTTAATATATTTATAGATGGGGTTGTAAAAGAAGTAAATGCTAGGGTGTCTGGGAGAGGGGTGGGATTAAATTAGGGGAATTAAATTCAAAATGGGAATTGACACAGTTACTTTTTGCTGATGATACTGTGCTTATGGGAGATTCTAAAGAAAAATTGCAAAGGTTAGTGGATGAGTTTGGGAATGTGTGTCAAGGTAGAAAGTTGAAAGTGAACATAGAGAAGAGCAAGGTGATGAGGGTATCAAATGATTTAGATAAAGAAAATTGGATATCAAATTGGGGAGGAGGAGTATGGAAGAAGTGAATGTTTTCAGATACTTGGGATTTGATGTGTCAGCGGATGGATTTATGAAGGATGAGGTTAATCATAGAATTGATGAGGGAAAAAAGGTGAGTCGTGCGTTGAGGTATATGTGGAGTCAAAAAACGTTATCTATGGAGGCAAAGAAGGGAATGTATGAAAGTATAGTAGTACCAACAATCTTATATAGATGTGAAGCTTGGGTGGCAAATGCAGCAGCGAGGAGACGGTTGGAGGCAGTGGAGATGTCCTGTCTAAGGGCAATGTGTGGTGTAAATATTATGCAGAAAATTCGGAGTGTGGAAATTAGGAAAAGGTGTGGAGTTAATAAAAGTATTAGTCAGAGGGCAGAAGAGGGGTTGTTGAGGTGGTTTGGTCATTTAGAGAGAATGGATCAAAGTAGAATGACATGGAAAGCATATAAATCTATAGGGGAAGGAAGGCAGGGTAGGGGTCGTCCTCGAAAGGGTTGGAGAGAGGGGGTAAAGGAGGTTTTGTGGGCAAGGGGCTTGGACTTCCAGCAAGCGTGCATGAGTGTGTTAGATAGGAGTGAATGGAGACGAATGGTACTTGGGACCCGACGATCTGTTGGGAGTGTGAGCAGGGTAATATTTAGTGAAGGGATTCAGGGAAACCGGTTATTTTCATATAAAGTTGAAAGTTAAGACACTTGTGCAACATCTGGTTATCTTTATTGTAAATGTTTCGCCATCCAATGGCTTTATCAATACAAATTCTTGGACATAATTAGAAAACAGAAGAACTATATACAAAAGATGAGGTAATCAGTCCCTCAGCCTTGGAGGTGGTGTTTACAACACCGTGGTTGTAGAGATTCTGAAGCACAGGTAAGGAGACTGGCGCTTATATAGGCTTATATTCTGTGCTTCAGAATCTCTACAACCACGGTGTTGTAAACACCACCTCCAAGGCTGAGGGACTGATTACCTCATCTTTTGTATATAGTTCTTCTGTTTTCTAATTATGTCCAAGAATTTGTATTGATAAAGCCACTGGATGGCGAAACATTTACAATAAAGATAACCAGATGTTGCACAAGTGTCTTAACTTTCATCTTGTCGGTATTGTATACCTGTCTTGCACAACTTATTTTCATAAAGTCGGACTTGAGTCCTGGAAATGGGAAGTACAATGCCTGCACTTTAAAGGAGGGGTTTGGGATATTGGCAGTTTGGAGGGATGTGTTGTGTATCTTTATACGTATATGCTTCTAAACTGTTGTATTCTGAGCACCTCTGCAAAAACAGTGATAATGTGTGTGTGGTGAAAGTGTTGAATGATGATTAAAGTATTTTCTTTTTGGGGATTTTCTTTCTTTTTTGGGTCACCCTGCCTCGGTGGGAGATGGCCAACTTGTTGAAAAAAAAAAAAAAATACTACGTTCGAAACACTGGCTCGTAAGACGTATATATACAGCCGAAACAGTCAAAGGGTTAAATTTGACCAAATTCTTAGCTCCTTCACTAGTATGCCTTCCATTCTATAGACTGAGCACAAGAAACTGACCATTCAACATTTCAACTACCCTATAAAATGCACAGAAGTTGGTAATTTGGCCAATTTTACCCAAAAATTAAAAATTTAAAACTAAGAGTCCATAATAAACAACGTAGACATTCTTAGCACTAAAACATCTCCTCTATTCATTAGTAATGTCCCCCCAGGCCTCTCCTATACTACATTTACCTTCCATTTTAAATTCTTCAACACAAAATTAGATTTACTCTATTTCTCAGATAATAAAATATAACCAGTAAAGATTGTTCATGGTTTGTATCATCCCAATAATTGAATTAGATTAAGAACCCACAAAACTAGACTGGAGGTTGTAGAGAGGTCTTACCTGAAGCCAAGTAATATACATGTAACACTATTACAATGATATTCCAGCCATTCTGTCAAATGATACCAAGACAATCCCCTCCCCCTTCCCCCCCCCCAAAAAAAAATTGCTATTTAAAAACTATACATTCAATTTTGTTTTTCCCTACCATGCACATGTGGGGGCAAGATTTTTTTTTAACTGTGCAGACTCACTGCATAGACCCATTCTCTCGCATCTAGGCCAAAATTTACCACTCACAGCTTATCTGGACAAGCCAAGCTCGTGACGCATAACTATCTCAAGAGACCCTGGCCTCAGTAATGTAGTTCAATGTGACAGAGTGAAAGAGGGTAACTATTAAACAATTACGTTCTTTGAGCTGTAATAAGTTATTATTGAAATTTTTTGAAGACAACTGTATCTCATTTTAATGATTTAATAAACTTTCTAATGAATACTTCAAAATATATTTCCAACAAGAATTAACTACAATCAAGGATAAAATGATTATTTATAACTATCTTAATTATAAGTAAGACACATATGCAACAGTTAGACAACTTTATTCCGAAACGTTTCACCTACACAGTAGGCTTCTTCAGTCGAATACAGAAAATAGGCAGGAACAGTAGAGATGTGAAGACTATGTAATCAGTCCATCACCCTTGTAGTCGTAGAATTTGAGGTTGTCAGTCCCTCGGCCTGGAGAAGTTCAGTTCCATAGTCAGGAACTATCTGAAGATCAAGCGACAGTGCGGAGACTTAAATACTGTCGGAAGGAGAGGTGAGTAGTAGTAGTAGTAGTAGTAGTAGTAGTAGTAGTAGTAGTAGTAGTAGTAGTAGTATAGTAGGTAGTAGTAGTAGTAGTAGGGTAGTAGTAGTAGTAGTAGTAGTAGTAGTGTAGTAGTAGTAGTAGTAGTATAGTTTAGTAGTAGTAGTAGTAGTAGTAGTAGTAGTAGTAGTAGTAGTAGTAGTAGTAGTAGTAGTAGAGTAGTAGTAGTAGTAGTAGTAGTAGTAGTAGAGTAGTAGTAGTAGTAGTAGTAGTAGTAGTTGTAGTAGTAGTAGTAGTAGTAGTAGTAGTAGTAGTAGTAGTAGTAGTAGTAGTTGTAGTAGTAGTAGTAGTAGTAGTAGTAGTAGTAGTAGTAGTAGTAGTAGTAGTAGTAGTAGTAGTAGTAGTAGTAGTAGTAGTAGTAGTAGTAGTAGTAGTAGTAGTAGTAGTAGTAGTAGTAGTAGTAGAGTAGTAGTAGTAGTAGTAGTAGTAGTAGTGTAGTAGTAGTAGTAGTAGTAGTAGTAGTAGTAGTAGTAGTAGTAGTAGTAGTAGTAGTAGTAGTAGTAGTAGTAGTAGTAGTAGTAGTTTGTATAGTAGTAGTAGGGAGTAGTAGTAGTAGTAGTAGTAGTAGTAGTAGTATAGTAGTAGTAGTAGTAGTAGTAGTAGTAGTAGTAGTAGTTTGTAGTAGTAGTAGTAGTAGTAGTGAGAATGTAACCACTGAGAGGTCATGTCCCTCTCAGATCCAACACTTCTCACTTGAAAAGCTTGTCCAAGGTGTTTTCTGTACCAAGATGCCATGTGTTGCAGTGTCTGACAAGATGTTCATCTTGTCAGACACTGCAACACATGGCATCTTGGTACAGAAAACACCTTGGACAAGCTTTTCAAGTGAGAAGTGTTGGATCTGAGAGGGACATGACCTCTCAGTGGTTACATTCTCACTACTACTACTACTACTACTACTACTACTACTCTGCACCTCTCCTTCCGACAGTATTTAAGTCTCCGCACTGTCGCTTGATCTTCAGATAGTTCCTGACTATGGAACTGAACTTCTCCAGGCCGAGGGACTGACAACCTCAAATTCTACGACTACAAGGGTGATGGACTGATTACATCGTCTTCACATCTCTACTGTTCCTGCCTATTTTCTGTATTCGACTGAAGAAGCCTACTGTGTAGGCAAAACGTTTCGGAATAAAGTTGTCTAACTGTTGCATATGTGTCTTACCTAACAACCTGTCGGTATTGTATACCATTTTGATGTTTATCTTAATTATAACCATCTTTTCTAATCCATTTTAAGATTTAGTACGTAAAAGTAAACTCAGGATACCATGTGAAATTCAGTATCAGAATTAATATAGATTCAGTCATTCATACATCATACAAGTACTGGGAGTAGAAAGACACGAAACATATAAAAGGCATATCAAAGGTAAAGGTACATCAACCATACAATAAACATAAGTCTGTTACCTCCTCTCATCATAGAGCTGCTTGGTGGTGCCATGGGACCCCCACGACCCATGTGTGGGGGCATACCACCCATCATGTGAGGAGGCATACCACCTGGGGGACCTCCCCTTGGGGGAACATTCAACTGGGGTCCAGCACGAGCCGCTGGTTGCATCATCTGCTGGGAAGGTCCGCCCACTCCACGTACTGGGCCCTGCAGACCGCCACCCCCAGTTCCAGGCATTCCACGGCCAGCTGGGCGTCCCACACCTGGTCCAGGTGAAGCTCCTGGCAGGTTCACACGTGGTCCATCCTATTTAGAGAAAAAATTACTTGCACATCATAAACCTTTAACGAAGTCACACATATATGTACACTAAACCCTCAGCTTAATCTAATGGTACAGGAGATTGTGGTGCGGACAGCACGGAGATAGTTTAGCAGTGATCATAAGAACATAAGAATGTAGGAACACTGCAGAAGGCCTAATGGCCCATACGAGGCAGGTCCTTATCAAAACGACATCTACCTAAAGCTACTCAAGAAATAACTCCCGTACCCCTTGACACCAATCAAACCCAGCCCCTCCCACTCATATATTTGTCCAGTCTCTTCTTAAAGCTACCCAAGGTCCTAACCTCTATCACCCCACTGGGAAGACTGTTCCATGCATCTACAACTCTGTTAGAAAACAATAATGGCCAATTTGCTGGCCACCCGATTATGTCCTGTATACATGTACATATAGGATTTTTGGGCTCCACCCCTGCATTTTGACCCTGGGCCAAGCCTGTCTGGCTGGCTGACTAGACCAGGTAAGCATCAGATTAGACCAGACCATGATATATGAGCCAGCTGGCAGCCCAGTGGTCCATGAATACACCACAGCCTGGTTGATACAGGCACTGGAAGAGGTAAAAGTTAAGTCTCCTTCAAGATGTCTACACTTGTTCCAGTAGCATTTCAGATATCTTCTGGCAAGATGTTAGATAGTCTAGGCCCACTGATGTTAATAATGTGTTCACTTATTCTGCCTTCCATGCCCTTACCCTTCAAAGGTTTATCTTTCATTTTCTCCCATATCCATCACACCATTACATGATGGTAGTGTATAAATTTAGGACTAAGAACTCAAGTATTTTTCATAATATTATGCCTCTCTCTCTACTCCTGAAAGTAAACATTAAGGACAGGTGTTCCAATTAATTTAAATGTGATTGACTATGCACGCTTTATTTCAGACACTAATTCAAAGTCAATTAAATTGAAGGTTTATTGTAATCACAGCTTCTCTTAATAAATTAATTGTACCAACTAAGCATATATCAACCTTAAGGAACACACCATCAACACTCAAAATTTAGTCATTAGCAGGCAAAGGGGTCACCACAAGAAAAGATGGATTGGGGAGAGGCAAAGATTTTGAGTGACAGGGGACTAGACATCCAACAGGATTTTGAGTGAATTAGACAGGTACAGAGGCAAATGATTTTTATGACTTGCTGTTAGAGTGCAAGTAGGGTAATTATATACGTATATGGATTAAGGAAAACCATTTAACATGACGGGTTCTGGAGGTGGGAAGTACAGTACCTACATTATAAAGTAAAGGGAAGGTAGTGACTGGAAGCACAGTGCACTATGGAGGGGTAGTGAGAAGTGCAGTGCCTGCACTATAGAGGGTGGATGGTGATGGGAAGTACAGTGCCTGCACTATGGAAAGGGGGTGGTGGCGGGAAGTACAGTACCTACATTATAAAGTAAAGGGAAGGTAGTGACTGGAAGCACAGTGCACTATGGAGGGGTAGTGAGAAGTGCAGTGCCTGCACTATAGAGGGTGGATGGTGATGGGAAGTACAGTGCCTGCACTATGGAAAGGGGGTGGTGGCGGGAAGTACAGTGCCTGCACTATGGAAAGGGGGTGGTGGCAGGAAGTACAGTGCCTGCACTATGGAGGGTAGTGATGGGAAGTACAGTGCCTACACTATGGAAGGTGGGTGCTGGTGGGAAGCACAGTGCCTGCACTATGGAGGGGGGGGGGGGTGAGTGGAAGTACAGTGCATGAACTATGGAAGCAGGGGGAGGGGGTGATAGGAAGTACAGTGCCTACACCACAAAGGAGGGGTGGGGATACTGCAGTTTGGAGGTGCATCTGAACTATGATGTTGGCATGCTTTTGGCAAAAGTAACTGAACAAGTGATATTGAAATCTTTTCTTTTCCAGATTACCCTATCTCAGTGAGAGACGACCACGTATTAAAATAAATAAAACAGTATATACCATTCCACTCTGAAATTATCTAATGCTACTTACGTACAACAAAGTTCCTATTTCTGCTGAAATGTAGCCATATGTAGCAAAACACAATTCCACTTTGACACAATCTATTTACAAAGACGAGAAACCACAACTCATAAAACTGTAATAAACACGACTGCAAGCAAACCACAGAACGGGTGGGGATTACCACGGGTTATATCTCCACCTGTTCTGTGGTTTATGGGAAACCGTACCTCAGTAGGTGGAGGACCTTCCAGAGTCATGGTGACAATCGTTTCCCCTCGGAGTAATAACAAACCCATCGTTCGCTTCTCCTGCTTCTCTTCTTTATTCTTTTTTCCCCTGACGAGTCTGAACTCCTCACAGTCAGCCAAGATGACGTTCATGTGTTTGTCGAAGGCTGAAAAAAATAAGACCTAAAATGAATGACGTGATAGTATGTGAACTTTCTATAAAATGGTTCAGGGGATCATTGGTACCCTAAGGCTCTTGTTTCAGACCAAACTTCTTAAACTGAAGCAATGCAAAACATTAATCAACACTGAATGTGAATACAAGTTATCAAGATTTACTGTTAGCTTATAATTGCACAAAAAAAAATCCTTTTAAGTTGTAGAACATTTAACAAGATTCAACTTCAAAGTGAAACAAGAGGGAAGAACTGAGAAAATAAAACTGTGAACTGTGAAATAGTGTTATGTCATGTTAACACAGTGGTACCCTGAGTTTCCAACACCTAACTCGAACAATAGTTAAGTGTATTAATACAAGTGCTTTTGTAAGTGTATTTTTCGGGGTCTGAAACGCACTAATCTAATTTACATTATTCCTTATGGGAACAAATTTGTTTGGTAATGGCACTAACAGCCTTCTGGAACGAATTTTGTACAAAACACATAGGGTACCACTGTATTCAGTATTCTTTTACATTTTTTATTTAGCTACCATAAACCGAATTTATGGCACTTATTTATTGGGAAAAGTTATTTGCAAAACAATGTGTAATATTTTGTGAATAATAACCTATCTAGATTTACTGTATTAAATATTAAGCTTGCATATCCTGACTGTCCATAGTAACCATTTAAAATATTAATTATATAAAAGAATATAAAGACAATGTAGGAGGGGTGTTAATGTTGCAGTTTAAAAACTGTATTGTAAAGCACCCTTCTGGCAAGACAGTGATGGAGTGAATGATGGTGAAAGTTTTTCTTTTTCGGGCCACCCTGCCTTGGTGGGAATCCGCCTGTGTGTTAATAAAAAATGTTAATAATAAAAAAGACAATGTAGGCCTTGGTTAAAACAAAAGCATAGTTACGAAGCTGTTAGACACTTAAAATGGTATACATGTGTCATAAGGGAAGAGAAGATCAACAGTTAAAACACACCTGGAGTGAGGCAGCACAAAGTTTTAGGGTGTTATTGTTCATACAGGTACAACTCTGATTGTCCAGCAATAGATGGTCAACCAACTCTTAACCCTTTGACTTTTTCGACGTATAAATACGTCTTACGAGCCAATGTTTCTGACGTATATATACTCAATAATTCTAGCGGCTTCAAATCAAGCGGGAGAAAGCTGGTAGGCCCACATGTGAGAGAATGGGTCTGTGTGGTCAGTGTGCACCACATAAAAAAAATCCTGCAGCACACATTGCGTAATGAGAAAAAAAAAAACTGATTGTTTTTTTGGAATAAAACGCAGACTTTGAGGTGTATTTTCGTATAATATTTATCGTTGTATTCGCGTTTTCGTGGTCTTAGGTGATAAAATGGAAAACATATTACAGAAATAGAGATGATTTTCATTACTTTGACGATGAAAACGACCTTGAAACTGAGCTCAAAGTAGCGGAAATGTTCGATTTTTACCAATGTTCAGGAGTAAATAAATCACACCACACGTCCAATACACGTCAACTGGGGAGTCTAATATTCTTTCACTAGTGCACTGATATTATTTATACCATTTTTACAATAATGCAGTAGTCTGCATAACAGTAAATTTTGTATTTTTTTGTATGAATAAAAAATCAAAATAGAAAGCAATAATAATATAAGAGGGGCCTAGAAATGTGACTAATGAACAGAGGATATGTTATTTTAGTGCCACGAATGTCTACCTTGTTTATTCTGGACCCTATTTTGAAATTGGCATCTTTTTTAGTTTGCGTGAAATTGGCCAAATTGCCAATTTCTGACCACCATATTGGGTAGTCCAAATTAGTAAATGGGAGGTTTCTTGTACTCAGCTGATAGATAAAATGGAGTTCAAAAGAAATAGCTATGAGTTTGGTCAACTGGAACAATGGAATTGGCTGAAAATAGGGCTCAAAGTCGGCGAAATCGCTGATACACATATGTCGCCGAGACCGCTAACTTCGCGGGAGCATAATTCCACGAGTTTTCGACCAAATTTCGAACTTTTGGTGTCATTACCACCGGGAAAAGATTCTCTATCATTTCATAAGAAAAAATATTTTTTTTTTTCAAAAATTGAGCGACATAGAATGACAGTTTCAGAGAGGGGCCTGAAACAGTCAAAGGGTTAATCTGGATAATACTATTATGAGGGCAGTCACAGATGGTGTATGTAGCTTGTGCTTAGTGATTACACCGCAGTTGATGGTGATCTTGTTGATGAGTGTCAGCATATTTAACACTATCTATGGCTTCTCAGAAAGATGCAGGGTTAAGTTCTGTATAAATACTTGAAGTGAAGCCCCAAAAAAGAATAAAAAAAACCATACCATGGATGGGGTTTGAACCCACGGTAAGTGTCTCAAAACTCCAGACCGTCGCGTTAGCTGGCCCAGCGGCTAACGCGAGTGTGGAGTTTTGAGACTTGCCACAGGTTCAAACCCCATCCGTGGTATGGTTTGCAATCGTGTCATTACGATTTCGCGAGTCATCAAAACAATAAAAAGCTGGAAGTCTAATGAAAGGTGTTTTGTAAACTGTAATTATTGGCAACTGACTTAATAACCTAGGACTATACTGTCTGCCATGACATACATGTTATGCCTGAGTTTTACGGCATAGCACACCTGAACTGGCAGGGGGGAGGACTCCTCTGTAACCCCTTTATCTTGGCCCCAGAAACACACCCACACATGCTTTAAAATATCATTGTCTTATAGTGATCTGGGGACTGAATATATAATAAATTTTAAGTACACAATGCATCTTCTTGACAACAATTTCATTCAGACCTGTTTGGATCATGTTCTTTATCACCTTTGCTCTCCTACTAGATAGGGAGAGAAATACAGAAATAACCTGCACATTGAAGAGAGGAGCTTACGATGATGTTTCAGTCCGACTTGGACCATTTACAAAGTCACACTAACGAAAAGGAGAGAGAGCATATATAGGCAGGAGGTCGTAATAGTAGAAGGTGGTAGTGGGGAAGGCAGTATGGTGGTGGTCTGAAAATTCCCCAAGTCAATTTTTATGGCGGTTTGGGGTTCAGGTAGCAAGGACATTACGGTGGATCTGATTAGGACTAGGTAGTGAAGAAGACAATTTGCTTTGCCTTGTCAACCTCACCTGAAACATCTTACCAGATTAACTAATTGAAAAACTGTTACCTACAATGGGACATATATAGTGTTTAATATCATAAAAACTGCATCAGCACAATTTGTCAATGCCTATTATCAAATGATCTAGATCTGGTTTTGTGAACCTGCCCACGTTCACACACAAATTTATATTACCTTGGTGGGAGACGGCTGACTTGTTAAAAAAAAAATGAAATAAAATTATTTAGATAAAGGAAAATTGGTTATCAAATTGGGAAGGAGGAGTATGGAAGAAGTGAATGTTTTCAGATATTTGGGAGTTGACGTGTCAGCGGATGGATTTATGAAGGATGAGGTTAATCACAGAATAGATGAATGAAAAAAGGTGAGCGGTGCGTTGAGGTATATGTGGAGGCAAAATTTTATCTATGGAGGCAAAGAAGGGAATGTATGAAAGTATAGTAGTACCAACACTCTTGTATGGGTGTGAAGCTTGGGTTGTAAATGCAGCAGCGAGGAGACGGTTGGAGGCAGTGGAGATGAACTGTCTAAGGGCAATGTGTGGTGTAAATATTATGCAGAAAATTCGGAGTGTGGAAATTAGGAGAAGGTGTGGAGTTAATAAAAGTATAAGTCAGAGGGCTGAAGAGGGTTTGTTGAGGTGGTTTGGTCATTTAGAGAGAATGGATCAAAGTAGAATGACATGGAGAGCGTATAAATCTGTAGGGGAAGGAAGGCGGGGTAGGGGTCGTCCTCGAAAAGGTTGGAGGGAGGGGGCAAAGGTGGTGTTGTGGGCGAGGGGCTTGGACTTCCAGCAAGCGTGCGTGAGCGTGTTAGATAGGAGTGAATGGAGACAAATGGTATTTGGAACCTGACGATCTGTTGGAGTGTGAGCAGGGTAATATTTAGTGAAGGGATTCAGGGAAACCAGTTATTTTATATAACCGGACTCGAGTCCTGGAAATGGGAAGTACAATGCCTGCACTCTAAAGGAGGGGTTTGAGATATTGGCAGTTTGGAGAGATATACTGTGTATTTTCATATGTATATAGTACTTCTAAACTGTTGTATTCTGAGCACCTCTGCAAAAACAGTGATTATGTGTGAGTGAGGTGAAGGTGTTGAATGATGATGAAAGTATTTTCTTTTTAGGGATTTTCTTTCTTTTTGGGTCACCCTGCCTCAGTGGGAGACGGCCGACTTGTTGAGAAAAAAAAAAATAATGGAATGAAATGAAGTTTAAATGTCATTTGGCAAAACCCAACAATTAACCCTTAAATGGTCCAAACAGATCAACGTTCAAATCCGTAGTGCTGCAAAAGTAGACCTACTTTTTTTTACATATTTTCAAATATAACAAAAAAAAAAATGTAGATAAAAGTTTTTTTTTACACATTTTCAAATGTAAAACAAAAAAGATCTACATTTTTTTACATACTTTCAGATGTTGAAAAAAAGTATATATACGTTTGGACCATTTGAGGGTTAATTTACAAGTAAATTTAACTACAGTGGAACCTCAAAAATCGAACTGCTCCCACCACGACCAATTATGTAAGTGTATTTTTGTAAGTGCTTTTATAAGTGTATTTTTGAGAGTCTGAAATGGACTAATCTAATTTACATTATTCCCAATGGGAATAAATTCATTAGGTAAAGGCACTCGAACAGCCTTCTGGACCGAAGAAAGTTCAATATTTGAGGTTCCACTGTATTTACTATCATACATTTCAACACTCCAATTTGCCTTCTAATGGGGTACTAAAATATAATTTAATATTTGAACTTTCCAATTATTTCCACTACGTAATACGTACAAATTAAATAAAAAAAATACAAATTAAGTAGTCTTTCATTTACTTCTAATCTATAATGAAGCACCCGAAGCTAAAATCTCAAAGGAGTACTGTCTGCAGTATTGTTTGAGATTGTAATTAGCTTCAAAATTATTGGGTTAGAGAAAGGTACAAAATCATTTAAAATATAAATGAGTAACATTGTCATGTTGCTTGTGTACAGGCTGAGTGAGAGAGTAATAATGGTGCCACACGGCAGAGTCGGTGAGCAGAAAAGAAGATCTACGTTTTTTTTTATACTTTCAAATGTTAAAAAAAAACGTAGATATACGTTTGGACAGTTTAAGGGTTGTCTCTTAAGATTGTATCAAAAACAATTTGAGTAAAGCAGTTCCACAA